TAGCTACCGTAGTAGCTTTTGTGGTAGTAGTCATTGTAGTGAGGATCGGCTACAGCGTCAGCGTCGCGTTTGTAGTAGCTACCGTAGTAGCTTTTGTGGTAGTAGTGAGGATCGGCTTCAGCGGTTGCACTTCGTTTTAGTTCATCGCGCTCTAGATAAAATTAAACGTTTGGTATCAATATTTATAGACGTGAAGATTTCTTTCAAAGCAACACCTACTATTTTGATGAGGTAGCGCAAGGCCAGTGGCGGTTAAAGCCAACAGAATGCTGATAGAACTGATAGAATTAAACTTCATTTTTTTAAATATATATCTATATTTTTTATTATTGTTATTGTTATTATTATTTATTTATTTATTTTTTATTTCTTTGGATTTCTGTTTCGTTGATGATAATGCAGAAGCGAGCTTGATGGGGTTTATATAGATGTTCGTGCGTATTGCTACATAATAAAGAATTCTACATTGATATGTGGCTTACAATCGATTATAGAAGAATACGCATTTGTTGGAATGAGAAATTAAAGGCACATAATTTCTACATAACATAAAATTAAATACAATTAAATATGTAAAACTACCCAATAATGCGCAAGATATTGCGCAAAATTACTTCTTCATTGAAAAGGCTTTGCTATCGCGGAGATGAGAACATTCTTTTCTCGGATAACGGCCTAGATTTTGATTTTTCAATTATTATGATATAATATTATAGAGAAACGCATTTATTTACTTATTTTTTTCTGTGGCTTTTACGAAATTATTAATATTTAATATTTATCGATTGATCACGTTATTTTGAGGCTTCGTTCGTGATAACTTGTGGCTCTCATTCTTTTATAGAAATTAACGAATTCCGTCTTCAAAAGAGGCCAGGAAAGAGGGTTATTACTTATAGTAACCTAAAATTACGGCATAAATTAGTGTTCATTCGAGGCTTAGATAATTATGGTAACGGTAATTGCTCTGTTTTTTGTTTTTTTTTAACGCTTAATTAATGCTACGTAAGATCAGGCTATGATAAGCACTGTCTGAATATGTAATTAATTAAAATCCTTAGACACAGTGGCTTTTTTAAAAATTTATCCCGCTTCTAAATTTGTAAAAATGTTATATCACTATGGATAATATCGTTACGTAAATGCTTATTTTCAAGGTAATTTCTATTTAAGAATTATTTACAAGCCTCAGAAGCCTCTTAATTAAAAACTAATTCGTGAATTGCCTATGGTTTTACGCCATATCGATATTATAAGAAATTAAAGAATTTACATAATCGGATTTTTATTAATTCATTTTGTAAACATTTGCTTGGTATATACATATGGGGCTAAGTTTCATCTTTTTCTCTAATTCGTTCGTATGGTAAGCGTGGCTTGGTTTAATCTTTTATGTATCAATAACGATAATCTAAACTTGTATTCCATGATCAAGCGTAATGTGATTATCAAATAATAGAGCGAAAAAGATGATTATAGTTAGAACTCTAATTATGATTAGATAAGATTTATATCATCGTGCAAAGAATTCTTAAAAAATGCATTCATTGTACTCTAATCAACAGAATTTTGATCGGATCTTAGTATCAATAACAAAGATAATCGCATAACTGATGTACCAATCAAATCTAGAGTTCCAATCCGGATAAATCCGTCATCCGTTTATCCATATCTGATTTATTCGGATATCCGTTTACTATTGATAT